ACATTTTTTTGATCTAATTAAAAATATTTAAAACAAATGAATAAAAAACACATGCTGGCATGTACGTTGCACTGAAACGAATAAAATAAATAATGTTTTTTCATAGGACTACTTCATCGAGGCCTTAGAGCGCGAGTTTATTAGTAAGCTGAGAGTGCGGTGAAAAAAAAAATTCTCACCATTTTATGTCTAGATTTATATTTTCATCTGGCAACCGTAATATAAGTCAACCAAGTAATGTGAGGTCATGTCATCGCTCAGGCAATCTTCTATATGAGAAACATCCATAGATATTGAAGATGAAGCAAGATGTGGAAAGTCACGCAGCGAAGGGATGAAATAAAAGATGTAATGTACGTAGTATATGTGTATGTATAATAATGTTAATGTACAGCATGGTGCTTGCACAACGGGGGGGACACCTGTCGACAATCAGAGCTCATTTACGTATAAATTATTTATATTGCTAAATTACGACCTTCACTATCTTATCTATATAAATATCGGACTAGACATTCGTATCCAACATATACCCTAACATATTATACTTTGTTGGTGTACCAAGACGAGAGATTAACGATGGAAAATAAAGGCCGGAGATATTATGGAAGAAAAGATCCGACTGAATGTATTTTACTAGACGCCAGACTTCCTATTACTTGTCTAATGACTAATTCTGATGATTTGTTTTATTTATTTAATTTACGTAATATTCCATCGATTTGAAAAAGTTCAAAATTTTTTTACAAAAATTATTTAGTTATTTTGTTTAAAAATAGTTTGAAAATTTCTGAGTAAACATTTAATATTTACAAGACAATATATTTTTTTATTTAGTAATAAAGTCTCCAACAAAGTTGTACAAAGTCACTTTTATGGGGATGAATACGTGTTTTCACTTTTTTAGATGCTCGCAATTTTTGATGAGATTTTATTATTGCAATCAAAACATTGCTTCAGTAAAAACGATATTATCTAATATCTTATGTCATATAAATTGTCAGACAATTGTTTGAAAGATTAATAAAAAAATTATCTGTTTAAAAATATAAATCAGCATTAAACTCCGCTTTGACAAATGATAAAATCTATATATCCACTTACTAAACATGTGATTCAATCAGGATAATTTTATTGGCCAGCGGGTTCTTTATGAGTAATAAGAGCAGTATCTTGCTGTGAAAATTATTAAAGCAAGTGTTGAAAAGCATTAACTGTGAAGTTTATTGCCAGTGTCGTAAAATAACAAACAAATATCGGAATAAATTTTATTCAAATATTTATCACTCATTTGGTAAAAAAAGATCCTTTATATTTGTAAAATTACTGAGAAAAAATAAATTACCAGTTAACTACTTTTGTTTGAGTTAAAGTTATGTTATTTGTCTCTAAAATAATACCAGAAGGCATCACTCGAATAATTTATTTCGTCAACGTAATCATCAGACGTCTCTGAATGATAATAAAAGCCTAAACAAGGGAGATAAAAGCAAAGACAAATAAATTTTATCAAAACTTTAAATGGTTACTTTTAACTGTCTTTTCCTAAAAGGTGAAAGTTACACCAAATGATTATTATTAAACGAATAAAAGGAACTAGTTATCATGAATTTTGTATAAACATTCCACTATACTTTGTTTATATATATTATATTATATAATTTGAATATTGACAGCGTTATCTAGACCATGACAATCGATAACCTGTCCTTAGCCTTTCCAAACGGTCGATCACCATTTTATTTATTAACATCTCGATCACAATGCACGTTGTGAAATTGCTTTGGTTACGATTGGTTCATTTATTAATAATGATCATCCACTAAAGAACTTATCCGATACTATTATCATTAATATTTCATTTTAATCAGGTTCACTGTTTGTTTCAAAGAAACTCACATTAAACTTTTACTAGTTCAATTTTTGCAGTAATATGCCGTAAAAAAAAAAAATTGCGAATTCACATACAATTTTTTTACTGCTGCATCAAAAAATCTTTAAAAAATTTAAAGTGTCTAATAACCTAAGAAAAAGTGCAAGGCTCGATAGAAAACTAGAAAAATATATCCTTTGGCTAAACTACTACAGAAATATAACGTAGTGTCCTATCAATTTTACTCGGTACGACGTTTACGACTTGATCGTAAAATTCTTAGTGGGTGGTATCCATGAAATGAGGTAAGGGCGGAAATTTTTCTCGCATACGAAGGGCTTATGCAAGTATTAAACGTGCAAAGTGCACGTTTGTATGAAGGTTCTTAAATTTAAAACCAAAGTACACCTACGCGAACTATCCTACTGTTTACTATCTGTGAATTTTTATTAGACTCGGAATTTTAATGTTTTTATTTTAAGCCCCCAACAATGTTTCTAAGCCCGTTTTTATATTTGTGAGTATATAATTGCGATGCAATAAATTAGAATATATCTTTTATGTACCACTAACGAAATATGTAATTAAATATTTTCATTTTTATTTTGAAGGAGTTACTGGATAATCGATAGCGGTAGCAATTAGGAAGAAAATGCGGATTCATATGAGTGGATTGATTAATTATAATTGACTCAGCAGACAGGAGTGAATAAATTAAATTGATTTTAATTTTAAATGATGGGTAGCTTTACGTCAATCAAAAGTAACTGCGTCTGTAAAGTTTAATTTATAATTTATAATAGGAGCAAAGTTGAATTTTTTAATTCATGTTTTCTCAACAGAAATATTTATAAAAATTTGATTGTAAATCAATATAATATTTTAATTTTAATAATTAAATTTAATCCATGATTTTCAGAAAATTTGAAAATATTTACGATAATTTAAGCATATATTCTATTAAACAATATTAAAGATCAGATGCAAAGTATAAAAAAAAAATACAACAGCTACAAAAAACACTATTACTCTGTTCAAAACTATTAGGAAAAAATATTATAGTTTAGCAAGCTTGGACGTGACACGATTTTAAGCGATAGAAGAATTAGAATTCCGAGAAGTTTTTCCCCTAGGGTCTTTAGTTTTATAGAGAATTAAAACTTCAAACTTTAGGCTAAAAGCGATAAATTAATTGAAGGCTTCAAATGCTTCAGAGAAAAATAGTTAATTATATCATAAAATATATAATAAAAAAAAATATCTATAAGGATTAATTTAACACTTTTTGAATTTTCAACACAGAAATATACTTAAGGTTGTTTATTTATAGAGAAAATAAAAATAATTTCAGTGATATATATTTTCCAACAAAATGTTTGAACTTTGGTATCATAAAACAGAATTCATGAATTTCACGAAAATTATTCCGAAATACGAAAGTTTCATGATCTACAGTTTGAAATTTATATTTATGATGAAGGTAAGTGATACACAAATGTATATGTTATAACGAAAAACAAGAGGAGTAACAGCCAGTTATAAAACTTTCACAAATACTATAAAGTCTCTGGGAAATATTAATAGTTTGATGTTTGATCAGACACTTCACGATATCACAGTCTATAACGTACGTTGATGATAAAGTTCGGCGCTTTCATTCAAACTCGTGCACGAACACTGAAAATGATTTCGTGACACGAATCAAAAGCAATTTGACAGTAAATATTTTACACTTAGTCAGAAATTTATAGTGTAAATTAAATCAGTCGATTAATTAAAGTTTAAACATTAGCGGTATGATTTTAAAGCAAATTGAATCAACAATAAATAAATTAAATAAAAAGTAATTACATATTGATTATTTGTTTGCTATTATGACTATTTTTTCTAAGTTTTACCCTTATTGAATCCCTCAAGTATAAGTATTTGAAGTTCAACGTGTCGACTTATTGCCTCGGAAGCTTGCCAAATTACTGGTTTACGTGACAACATAAAATATAATATTGTACGTATTAACCAATGACGAAAATGTTTTTACCGCGCTATTAGATTAAATTAAAATAGAAAATCATGCGTCATTCACATAATAAATATTTCGATGATAATAATAATAACTAAATTATTTAGATTTAAAACATATATTTGCTAAGTAAACAACATATATATTTAATGTTTGTGATTTTAAATAGAATATTGAAAAATTTCAATAATCAAAAAATCATTTTACTAAATATACAATTAACATAATTTTTCGTAAATTAACTGTGCCATTTATTATTTATTTGTACTATATAGAAAAAATCAAATTGTAAAGATCGACTTCTGTATAATTATTTGAATATTATTTTATCAAGCAACATTTCATCCTAAGTTATGATTTTCTCAAGCTCTAAGAAAATATAGAATGAAAATCAATCGCGGAACAAACATATTTTTAATGCAAAAAAAATAAGCATTATAATAATTAATATACATACAATCATTTTATAATTTATAATAAAGTATCAAACATCGTAGCTCGAAATTGCAGTCAAATTATGACACTTGAGTATTAAACATATATTTTTAATTCCATAACAGAATAATTGACCAAAAGACGTTTCTAAGTAGCTCGAATTTTTGAAAAATTTTGTTTTTAAATGTCAATTTTTGCTGAGCAAAGTATTTAAGTTGAAAATTATTCTACAATTTCCATTAAAATTTGATCCTATCAAAAAAATAAATTTTGGTCTTATCAAAGTAATTTAAATCTTCTGTTTAAATTAAAATCTATCCGGCTTTGACATCAGAGACTCAGAGCGGCATGTTGATTACATGCACGAAGGACAAAACTGCTCAAGTCATGGTGAAATATTAACATTCAGGGCAAACTGTTTCACCACGTCAAGCTGAATCGTAAACAATGTACTGATAAATTTTCTTAAATAATATTCGTGCGAAAACTTGTCAGTATGTTTACCGGCAAAAATTCAGAAATCAAGTATTGATCGACTGTCGATAAGCTAGTCGTCAATTAAGCAAGAAATACACAATAAATGATGCGAAGAAAAAGAAAACAAATGTTAATTAAGTATAAGTATGCCATAAAATAACATTCATTATTCAACGGTCTACAAAGTAACACAAGTATTAATAAAGATTGTCTTTGAACTCTTGAGACGTAACTATGACTCGTGTATAAATATCCGATTCACAAGACTTAGTCAATGTCTTGTTATAATTTCGAGTGTGAGATTACGAGTTGCGAATGATTTACGACTGAAAATAAGAGAACAATATACGAGTTGGCAGCCCTAGTCTCGTCTCACAAACAGTGAAAGCCAAATCTTTAATAATTTTGTCTCCTGCATATAATACTGCACACCAGTAATATTTATACTAACGATTGCGAAAAATTTAAACCAACGCATGATCGATCGATGTTATAAATTTTTATAGGAGCATGAAGGTGTAATGGTTGGAGAGATTTCATCTCACCACGATTACGGTGGCAGCAAATCATCCAGTGAAACGCCACCAAGTTACAATCAATTAAATTATAATGAAAAAATAGAAAGATTTTTTAAGAGCAAACCAATTGTTAAAACTGCTTACGGCAGTGATGAGGAAACCTTTCATTTCAATGCTCAAAGTAATGATAATTTATAAAAATTTACACTTTAAGACTCTCACTTAATGGGCAGAAAAGATTTGTTTAATTTTTTTTTAGATCAAAAATATTTGTTAAGGTTTTTAAATTTATTATTTATTATTTACTATTTAAACTTGCAGGTTCAGATACAAATGCGCGGAAAAATGATAGTGGCGGCAGCGGAACTGGAGAAAATTTAAGCCACGAATCTATTAATCTGACCAGCGGAAAAGACGACATACTTAATAATAATAGTAGTTTAATTCCAACTGACAATTTCCGGCCAATGGCTCTTACTAAAATGTTGCTTGAAAGACACGATCATGATATGGAAAAACTTATGGTTCAAAAACACAAAGAACGTCAGTCAAACATTAAAACTGGAAATATTAGTAATAATTGTAAAAACAACAATAATGACTGTTATAGTAATGATTTAAATGTTAATAATAATAATAATAACAACAACAACAACAACAACAACAACAACAACAACAACAACAGTAATAATAATAGCGATGATAATAATAATGATAATAATAACAATAATGAAATGACTGAAGAGCCTAGCTCAGGATCCGAAAACGAAAAAATTCAAGACAAAAGTCGATATGGAAAACGTAATAGTAGCTTAATTATCGAGGCTGAATATATTAAGGTGAACAAAAATTCATATACATACATATAATAATAATAATTCTTATTTTTTTTTAATTGCGTTCATTGAAGTATCAAAAAATTTTTATTTAAAAATTTTTTCATGAATAAAAAGAGTTTTTTTAAGATTCAGTGGTCTGTTAGTTACTTAATTTAGGCTCATCGTGTCAAAATAATTTATGTTAAAAGATTCTGTGTTAAACTTATACATAAAAGTATTAAATATTTATTATATAATTTTTTAACACAAAACGTTTTGACGCAATGACAGAATATTTCTTTTAAATATTATGAAGTAATTAAATAAATGTAATTTTTAATTGTTTAGACATTCAAATACAGCAAGAAAGCTAAAATTTGTCCAAAGAATGGAAAGAGTCTTAGCATAAATAAAACAAGATTTGAAAAGTCACCAATCGACGAATCTATGGACCAAGATGACAGTATGTTTAAATCAATAGACCCTGAAAATTCACAACCGTTACCACTCCTAGAAGCCCTTCTCACTAAGCACAATAAAAATATAGAGAAACTGATGATACAAGAACACAAAGATCAATTGTCAAACTTTAAAGCTGATAAGAGTAATATCAATCTTAGAAGAAAGCGCGAAATATCTGAAGAATCGGAGCTCAACAGTTCGCTTAACAAAGCGCGTCATTGGAATTGTTCTGTTGGACATTCTTGTAAAAACGATCTTTTTAAGGTTTGTAGATTCTTATAGATTTATTTACTTGTAATTTTAAAAATTTTATCATGATTTTTTAAATATTTTCAGATGCCAAAATACAATAAGAAAAATAAAAATAGCGTTAAAAGTAATAATACTGGGCCATATATGAAAACAAAAATAGATAAATTAATAATAAATGATCCTCGTTCAAATCTTGGTATGTGGCCTTTAATTCATCACAATCCATTGCGGTGTTCTGGTCTAACTCAAATCTTGCCGATTTACTACTTGCCTATTTCACAATCAGAATCCGATTCTCAAAATACGGAATCACAATCAACTCAGCAGCTTCAACAGCAACAGCAACTGCATCAGCATCAGCAAGAACAATACCAGCAAAGTTCATTTGTATCGTACACGCCATCATTTTCAGGGATTTATCATTCAACAATTATTGGAGGCCCAGCATTTATTCCGATGATTTATCCCTCGTTAATGACTCAGCTACCAAATAAATCAAACCATCAGCTAAGAGCCACATTTTCATCAGAAAATTTGTCAATGGAACAAAACCGTCCTGCAAGTCAAGCTACCAGTGTCAAAGCTGAGCCCGGTAGTATCATGGCAATGTCTGAGTCGTCGAAAAAATTATTTTCACCTAGTGCCCATTACTCGCCGTGTATCAGCATAGAAACCAGAAGTGGAGAAAACGATTCAAGCATTGAAGATTCTAGCGACTCCAGTTTTTATGGAAGTTTTTTGAACACAAGCACTAACAGCAGTTCTAATCGAGAGCAACCTACTGCCCACGCTGCCCGATTCCTCGAGGTAAAAATTTTTATTTGAATTACTATTTATTTTTTTTTCTTTTTTTTGAGTTGCACCGGCACGCAAAAAAAAAGTTCTTTGTGCATTTGACCGGACCCTTTTACAGACATGTATTTCAACCTGCTGAATTCGAATTTGAAATCCGTTTGGCCCGGTCACCCTCCAGATTTGAGTGAAATGTAAAAAACCCAAAAAAAAAGCAAAGAATGAAACTTTAATGGAACAAAAAAAACTTCAGATTCAAATTCAGTGGAACAAAATACATAAAAATCATACTCAATCTGAATTCAAAAAATTTTTTTCATCTCGATAATTTTGATTTTTCATGATTTATTGCAATTTTTTCAAATTTTAACGGATCAACGGGCTAATTAACGTTCAGATTCAGATTAAGTGCGGCTAGACCAAACGGATTTCGATTTCGAATTCAGCGGGTCGAAGTACATGTCCGTAGGAGAGTCCCCTCAAATGCACAAACAACTTATTTTTTGTGTTCAAATCCGTTGTTATTAAATGAAATTATTCAAAGATTTCGCGTTTAAATTAGACAATTGTTATTCATAGATTTTTATACATTGATTTTAAAGATATTATTAATTATCGCATTAGCTTACAAAACTTAACTTGTGGAAGAGTAGTCGAACAATATAAATTTTCAAATTAAATTGGTTTTTTTTTTTTTAACGTTCTTCATTTTTTCTATACCAAGGAGAAATTTTTGTGAGACGAATACGATTACGAAAATAATTTGTTTTCCCCTGATTAAGAAATCCAATTTGAAATGATTTAAAATAATTTAAAATAATTTTAAAGTATCTGATTTGAATACTATATAGATATTTATTTATTTATTTATTTATCCATATGTCAATCGGCTTTATACATTAGATTTACATCAATTAAATTTGGTTATGGGTGAAAAAAGAAAATAAAAATAAAAATAGGTAAAAAGAGTATTAATATTTCAGTAGAATTAAATTTAAATTAAATCAATTTCATTTACTTTATAAGTTTAAATTACTAGTATGTATATAAAAAAATATAAATATAAAATTAAAATTAAATATAAATAGTATATTACACCCCTTGGGAAGGAAAATAAGAAAAGCCTCAGATCACATGTAATTGTTGGCCGAGGCGAAGCCGAGATCAACAAACATGTGATCTGAGGTTTTCTTTTTTACTTCCCAAGAGCTGTATAATATTTTTTTGTCCGAGGAAGGCGGAAAGCGGCAACTTTGTTTAGCGCAGTGGGACCAAAGTTGCCACTTTCCGCCCAGAGGGCAAAAAATATAAAATTAACATAAAGGTAATCATTTCAAATCATCTTTCTGAATCAGTGTCGTTTGTTATTATTGTAGAATTTTCTTTTTTAATTTAAAAAAAAAAAAATTACTTACTTAATGAAAGAAAAATTGCAGCAGCAATAAAACTGCGATATGAAAGAAATTGTTTGAGAATATAAGCTTATTTAGCATATAAAAATCTTAATCGAATTATATTCGTGTGAATTTTTGAAAAAAAAAAAAAAAGATAAAAAGAAAAAATCTATTTGTTGTGAACTATTATTACTATTGTTATTTCGATAAAGGCAGTTTGTAATTGTAATTAGATAAATGCATTGAAATATGCTGAAGGCGAGACAATAAACAGACGTTTCGCAATGGTAAATAACCTAAAGAATAATATTGAACAGTACAATACGGAAGCAGCAACACCATTACTACCACAAAAAAGTTTACCTTGGTACCACGGTGTAAAGATGACACCCGAAATATCATACAACTATCAAATGACTCCAAAAGTATTGAGCGAAGTCCTAAAAACCGATCTCCAGGTCCTCAAGACATTAAAACAACCTCTTCTCGTCAACGAACAGCTTGATCAGCTTTACCGTGATCTCGAGCTAGGGGGCTTTGGCACTAAACTTCTTTTAGATGACAGTAATTCGTCGAATGATAGTGAACGTACCAACCAGAGCAGCAAATTTAATGTTTCATCTCAGGTGAGACACCACTGGTAAATAAAAAATTTTAAATTTTTTGCACGCCTCATAACGCGTGTTCCATTAAGGCTAGTATATTTTTTTAACAAAATAAGGTAACTCTTATTTCTGTCATTAACTTCACTTACTTTCCGTAAATAATTTCTTTTTTATTCAAGTAATTTGTTTTGTCATTTTATTATTATTATTATTATTATTATTATTATTATTATTATTATTTTGACTTATCAGCCTACATAAGACTAGAACTATGATATACATAAGGCTTCATACAGAAGTTAATTTATTTATCACGTTGAACTTAACGTGACCAACATCGTAATGTGATAATTATAACTTATAACCATATTTTGTTTTTCTGTTAATTAACAGCACAAACGCATAAGAAGAGAAATGAAGTACAACAAGTACGCAATGATTTATGAAGAAGATGCTCCTTTTCCATCATCTTAACCGTAATTAATTTAAGTCACAAGATATCTTAATTATCGTTTTTCTATAAGTTGACAATAGATACCAATTTATTGCAAGCAAAGAAATATTTTTTAATACACAAAGTTTATTATTAAATAATAGAATATTTATATAATATATTTTTCATCAATAGTCCAATTAATCAAGTCTAATATAGTATAGTATTTATTATTATTAGTTGGTATATATATTTGAATTATAACATCCAAAAGGATATTTAGATTTAGAGGAATATGAATTGATCTGAATGCTTTTGCATTTCATTTTCATAAAATATATTGATTGTACTATTTTTTTTTTCTGATTGCAAATTTTGATTAAATATTATTGTGGATTATATACGGGAAAAAAAATATTGTTAAAATAACTATCCATGACGTTTCCTTAAAATAATAATCCGGTTTTCTGATTTAAGGATTCATTTGTTTCACTTAAGTATACAGAGAATACCTCTTGTAAATATATGTAGTTTCGTTGAAACAGGAAACTGAGGATCTGTATAGTTAATTTAACTAAATGTAACGCCTAAAATAATGATTCAACTGAATTGGCGATACAGAATATCTCTAAAAAAATGAGTATACGACGTATAGTCAGAATAACGATACGTATCTTCATTCTGAGGATATTTTTCTCTCCGTATAGAATTTTTAACAAGTTTAATTAATTTAAAGTTATTAATAATACAATACAAGTACAAGGGAAACCCTTATTAAACAAAATGATTTCACAATGTTAAATGCCCATAAGAGATATGATGTAAAATGATTTACATGATTTGATAGGATTAAAAATGATTATAAAATTAATCATATCAAATCATTTTGTTTAATCAGGGAAATTTTACATAATTATTCAACATGATTTACTCCTTTTAGATTGCATTATGTTTTTTAAATTATGATTTCTTTTTTAATTAAAGTTTAATTGAAATATCTAGTCAGGGTTTATATACAAACTAACATAATCCACTGAAAAAATAAAAAAAAAAATATGAAATTTAAAGTGTAAACCCAATAATATTATACTTGATCTAGTCGATAGATTTATGCTGAAGCCAAGTAGTCGTATAGAGTTTAATGTTATTAAAAGTTGAACTAAAGACGGGAACATCAATTACTTAAAATCGAAGAATAAAAAGTAAGATTTGTTCCAATTTTTTTTTTAAATACAAAACACTCTTGACTGAGTAAATTTGATAGTCAATCTGGAAATCGAGCAGTACTTATTCTGGAATTTTTTCCGTACACTCCACAAATTACATTCTGTCTCATAACTATGTAACACGCATCGAAAATTTTTTTTTTTTTTTTATAAAAAGTTTTAGAAACTTTTATGCAATTAAATTTAAAAAATTTTTAAAATTTTTTTATGAAACAAAACTTAGATATTTTATTAATGAAATTTACTTAAAAAAAGGCGATAAATATTAAAGATTTTAACGAATTTTTATAATAGTCGGTCGAAAAATACACAAGTTTAACATAATTTTCTTCTTTCTTCCTTGAGATATTTGAATATAGTAGAATGATATTTTCTCTTCTGTATTTTTTGATAAATCTTTAGATTTTTAGACTGATCACGACATTATATACACTTAAAATTTTTTATTTTTATAGAAAATAAAAAGATAAATTATCGCATTTACTTAAAATTATTATTTATCTTTTTTACCAATTTAAGCACAAAACTATGTGTTTTTTATATTTATTTATTGCAAATGATCAGTAGTTTATATTCGAGTATTGTTTTTAAAAATACTTAAGCTTTTAGTCGGCCTGTTGGCCTTGCCGTTTAAGCGCTTAAATAGCCTGAGCAACAGGTTGACAGGCGAAGGTCGAATCTCTGAGAGGTCGTTTTTTCGGCAATCTCAGCGCTTCGACCAGTAGCCGGCTGTACTTTGACCGGGTTTTCTGTGGTTTTCCTGGTCACTGTGCTAAGAGGCACAGGTGAATGCGAGTACAGTAAAATGTAAGTCGGCCACAGTCACAAAAGCGATCTATTGCTTGTGACTAGAAGCGAGATAAAGAAGTTAGATAACTATGTGGAGGGAAATTATAAAGATAAGCGGAAAGAATAGTCACACGCAGAAAGAGAGTATGACGTCCTGTCCTTGTAAAACATGAAAGTAATACCCAAAATAGTAAAGTACTTAAATTTTCACAAAAATAAAATTAAAAACAAAACAGCAGATAAATTAAAATTAAAAATTATATAAATCAATATATTTTTAAACAAAAATAAAAAATCATTAATGCATTTTTATTTCTGATTAAGAAATCTAATTTGAAATGATTTTAAATAATTTTAAAGCATCTGATTTAAATACAATATAAATATACAATTAACATAAAGGTAATCATTTCAAATCATCTTTCTGAATCAGGGATATTCAATATTTATATACCGATTAAAATATAAATAAAACAATAATATTATAAACAGTGGGACCAATAACCTTTATAAATAATTTTCTTTTTATATACAATGGAAAATAATTATTATATTTTTATTAATATTATAAAACCGGCATTATTTTAAAATAGATAATCTAATGCATATTTAACGAAATCGGAATAACGTGTAACCCATACAATCCATTTATATACTTTGTATAATCGATCAAACAAATTTATTTATGTAATACATATATTCTTGTATCATCTCTGTATATTGTTATTTATTACATATATATATTATGCACGTTGAATTTCACGATCGCTAAATAATATGCAACATATATTTTAATTGCACTCTAGTCTAGATTATAGAACTTAGTTATAAATTTATCTATCAAGTTTAATAAATTAATAAACAAATTATTATTTAATATTTTAAACATACAAATGACATTATTTAATTTTATAAGAATTAAATTTTACAACAACACTTAAATATATTAGTGATTTATAATTATTCATACATTTTTGCCAGTCCATTCAATATTTTTGGTACGACGAAATATTTTTATAAAAACAAAGCAGTTTATAATAATTGTTTTTATTTTCAGTTAATATATTTATTCATTTACAAATAATTATATTATTATATTAATAACCATTTACATTGCAAATTTATACATTAGTTTATATATTAGTTTTAAGAAGGCATAAATGTTATACACACACACACATATATATATATAATAAAAAAACTTAAAAGTGCGTAAATAAGAGGTAATTTAAATAGACAATTGTTAAGGCCGGATAATTTTATAAATTTGAACCGTCAATTGAAATTAATTATATAATTCATACTTACTGTGTAACATGATGAATTTAAGTCTATACATAGACATTATAAAACAGTATAACGAAAAAATAATTCTCATTATAAATAACGTTAAATACTTGTCTTTTTGTTGATCAATTATTAATATTCATCATAAGCCTTAAAGTATATACACATATTTAATATATACGCACCTGAATTTTTTGTACAACTATGTGATTGAAAGTAGATATAAAATGTTAACATGAATATTTAAAATAAAAAACAAAATAACAAACAACCAAAATTTATTATTCAATACTATTTTTTAATTGAAGTTATTTACTTAATACAAAATTATATTATATAATTGTATATAAAAAAATATCCTGTTTTAATTGTTAATAATAATTCACGTCGATCGTTTAGTGTGATTCGATGGTTCGGTCGTTATTTCTTCCGCAAATCGTGTTTCATGGACTGAGTTTATCTGTGTTATATAAATTCAGCAATAATTTAATTAATTAAACATTAATCTATACCTAAAAATAATTCAATTAGTGTTTAATGAAAAATTTATAATTAAACAAACCTGAACTTGATGTAATTCTATTGAATTGTCTGTTTTAAAATATTTCCGTAAAAATGGCGCAACTAGCTTTGGATCAAGTTTATTAACACTTTCAGATGATATAATACTGACCATAAGACCAATACTCATTGTCACCAAAGCTCCTGTTACAGTGTACCACAAATAACTCACACGATAAATAGCCCATGTTTCACTGGTATAATTAAAAAACAATCAATAATTTTTATCACGATTGAAAATAATAATAAAACAACGTAAGTAAATATCATTTGAAATTGATATTGATACTTTACCTAGATCCATCATCTGTGGTTTCAAAAACAGAGTCCGGTGGTACAGCCAGCAATAGATTTTCCGCTTGTTGAAACCAATATGTACAACCTTCCGTAGTCACTGACTTTTCATCTGATCTATGAAATTTAAATATTTATATTTATGACAAATGGTTTAATTTTTTATATAATTTCATAAAAATAGTTTATGATATTGATATAATTACATAATATTGCCGCTAGCTATCGCAGCTTGCGCAGAAAACGTCACCCATCCCATGAATCCTAATCCACAAAGTCCTCCAATTAGTGCGCCCTTTTAAATAATTAATTAAAAATTTTACAATACAATATAATATTGTATAATATAATGTGAATACACGGAAAAAAGTAAACTGTTATAAATAACAGTCGATTTATAATAAGTAATGATCAACTGGAAAAAATTACCTTTTCTAACAGTACACAGAAAAAAAAATGTTCTTGAATCAAGTATATAACTTTGAAGAGCTTAATATTCTTAATTTGAGTAGAAAAATTCATAATTTAAGAAAATTTTTCTTGATTTATGAAAATTTTACTTGATTCAAGACAATTACCCTCTTCAAAATTATATTCTTGGTTCAAGAATTTTTCTTTTGAATCAAGTTAATTTTTTTTTTTCAGTGTAAAATCGTTATTTTAACAATCACTTTATAATATTTATCATTTAAATGCTATAATTTATTATTTACATGGAAGAAAATACTATTTCAAACATTAATATTCGCTATGTGAAAGTCGATAATGTTAAAGTCTAATAATTAAGAATTTTGACTTTGATATTTATCTTTTCGTACCTAAAAAATGATCGCATGATTATGTAAAAAATATCAACTGCTGTTACTAAATTTCTATACAAGCAACGTCAATATTTACAAAGTAAAAATGGTAAATTTTAAACGCAACGCCACAAATCAAACTATAATTATTAACTTGTTTGTATTGGTAAAATATATTATATTTTAAAAGTAGAATTTTTACTGTTTCAAATGTTAAATTTTCCGAGTGTGAGACTTTCCCCTTTTCCTCATAGTATAGACTATATATTAAAACGGCAATTTTTAATGTTTAAAACTGTAATTTTTTAAGATGAGAAAGTCGTTATTTACTATAGTGACAGCTATTAATCATATTTTTACAGACTTTTACACTTTCTACATTAAGTTTTGTAATATTTACATTTGTGCCACCCCAATGTCCGCTGTACTCTTTGAAACGATAAAAATTAACCAGAATCCGAGTGAATTTTACAGTTTACTTTTTTCCGTGTAGTATAAAAAACAAATAACGTTACCTTAGCATTTACCCAAGGCAATAAAATTCCTATACTAAAGATTCCTAGCGATGGCCCACTGTGAATTGCGCTCATCGTTATCGTTAATTCAAGTACATGAGTTCCAGCTTTTTCAACTACGAAAACAAGCCCCACGCAAACGACACCTAGTATGACAACTGTCAATTTCATAAGTATGTCAGCAGTTCGGGTGCTGAATGGTGTTTTGCGGAATGGTTTTATAAAGTCTTCAAAAATAACCGCAGCCATTGAATTTAGTCCAGTTGACAAAGAGCTTTTTTTTATAAAATTTAACCATACAATATAAATTATAATTAATAATATTGATCTATTTGATCTAAAATTTCTACCTCAAAGCTGCGCTGAAAACTCCAGCGACAAAAAGTCCCGGGAATCCTGGAAATTGTCCCAAAACATCCATCACTAACAATGGAAGCAATTGATCCTTCGCGTTTACTAATTTTGTTGTCAGAGGATCGCATTCGTGGTACCAGGCATAAATAAGCAACCCGGAGTAACCACATACTCCAATTAATGCCACTGCACCAACAATGAATATCCAAAGTGCCCTAAAATTTATTTATTCATTGAAAATAATTATTCGAAAAAAAAAAAAAAAAAAAATAGATTTTATTACTTCTTAGCTTCATAAAGATTTGGTAGTGACATATATCGTTGAAGCATGTTTTGATTAATTGCAGCACTTTGAAGCCAATGAACAAAACCGCCGATAACTAGTGCCCATATTGTATGCCTTGTCGATGGACTTAAGTCAGTCCTAAATACATAATAAATAATAATAATAATTATATTTTTCATATAAATTGCATTAAAAATGCTAGTTTCAATGTCTGGAGCCAACCAGAATTAGATAATTTCAGACAAATAGCGAAAATACCATTTTATTATTAAACTTATTAAGGAAATTAAAAATTAAAATTCAAGAAACTAATAGTTTGTTTTTTATTAAACTTTATTCGTAAATTAAATAGTTTTATATTCTCATTCGTATTTATACTGAGTAACAAAATTATAATATGTCAGTACAATTAACGGTTACAATGACAATTATCTATATTATTAAAAGAATGAGAAAAATTTTGTTTCCAGGATATATATCAGTCATATGATGAAATCGGTTTTTTTTAGTAAAATTTAGTGTCATTGCAAAGGTCTTTTGTCATGTTTCAAGGTTTCATATCATTATGACCGATATTCAATTTATTATGATAAGTATTTAGGCTGCATTCAAAAATACTCTTGTGAATTATTGACATTTTTAAAGATATAAGCTCACCCCGACATTATACTCATCGAGACCTTTCATTTGAGTACCCACATCAATTTTTCATATATTTATATATATATTATATATATGTATATATGAAAAATATATCAAAATGCATGTCGGTACTCAAATGAGTACAGTGCAGCTTAACAAAAGTCATTATTTAATTAAGCAAAATTTTATTTATTTATAGTTGACAAGTCTCGGTAGTCACATAGTGACTGCAAGGTTGCTAATAAAGGTAGAAAATAAACAAAAGATCGACTGATAGGATTGAAAATAAAACTGCAACTTCATCTCGCGGGCAGAAAATCATCAGATTCTGTCCTCAGGAAAAAAATAATCATTTTCTGTCCGGCAACAGTCGCATTGATCTGAAATTGACTATATAGTTTCGATTGGCTCAACAGGCATTGAAACTCGTATTTTCAATGCAGGTCATATGATAAATCAAATAAATATTATTTCAAAAATATAATACTACTTACATGGGCAATTCAAGTCTGTCTGAATCGCGATTTCTTTGAAGTACAACTCCCAGGCCACCAACATCAGCAGTACCTTTTATAACAACAAGAAGCATTGCGCCAAACATAATGAAAGCCTGAACAAAATCCGTCCATACTACTGCGCGTAGGCCTCCCTGTTTACGGATTTAAAATTACCCAACTTATGATATTATAATACTAATTAATAATAGTTATTCAATCAGTTTGATTTGATTAATTAAATTGATAAAGAATTTAATTGATAAGATCTAAAAATAATCATAAGTATTTACCACGCAAGTATAAAAAATGCAAATGATACACACGAAAGGCGTTACGATGTGAACATTAACTCCCGTCACTGGAAAATAATAAAAATAATCATTATTTATTTAGGGAAAACAGTATTTATCAATTTAATTATTTTTGAAGAGATTATATCGATTAGTTACCTTGATTGAAGGCTAATGCGGGGACGTAAATAACAATAGGCAGCCACAGCATCTATAAATGTCTCCAATTAATTTGCTATTTCAATCGATTCCATTGTTATGAATTTTCATTTAAAAATTTATTTATAATTATTAAAAACACTTTATTTCCGTCAATTTATAATTACATAATAGCTTTAGTATAATTGGAATTATTCTTGAATTGAAGATAACTAAAAATTTTGAATGTTTAGAAAATTCAAAAATGCACGACTCATAATGCGAAACATATTCCGAGTCGTGCCAAAGAACCTATTTTAATCTGAAAAGCGCTCACTCCAGATACAGAATACAACCCTTAGCCATTTTAGATAAAATAGACACAGTTGGTACTTCAATTTAGCCAAATTTAGTCATGGAAAATTACTAATTATATATCTACTAACTAATATGCTCCTCAATAGATATCTGAATAGCTTATGAATCCATTTACATAATCTTGCATTGTGTTATATAAGATTCTGATAAGATCTCAAGATCTCACGTAAAAGTCTGTTCCAGTTGCTTACAGGTTTTATTTTAACTTCTTGTTAATTCAAGTAAGATTTCTTCCCAGTAAAGAAATTAGTACATATCGTACAAGCGATAGCTGGAGTAATGTTGATACTATTTTTTATTTTTTTTATTTATCAATTATATCTAATTCATTAATAATTAATACTTTAATAAAAGAAATAATTTTAATGTGCGATCGTATTCTTTAAAGACATTTTTACAAGTGAATTTTTTTTAACGCTGAAATTAGCAGACACTTCAAATTTTTTTGATTTTTCTTGAAAAATAAACTAGGCTTAAAGTTATTTTTAAAAAATAGAATTTTTCTTGTTATCATTTATTTGTTAAAATAATTTTTAAAATTATTAGATGCCTCTCAATTTTAGTATCATAATTTTATTTATGAAATATTATTAAATATTAAGATTATTAATTATTAAGATACGCTAATTATTGTTAAAAAAAAAAAAAAAATATACTTACAATTCCAATAGAAAAAAGTGTAGACCCAAGTATTCTCACTTTGCGATCAAACCGCCTTTCTAAATACTCATAAGTGCTCGTAAGCTTTAATTCATGAAAAACCGGCAAATAAATACTCGACATAGTAAATCCAACTAGAATTACACCAAAAGCAATGAAAAGATAACTCGTTCCATGAACATAAATTTCCGTGGGGGTCCCAAGCAGCGAAATGCCGGAAAAAAAGCTGGCTATCAAGCTGAGACTTACAGGAAAAGTTTTCATATTTCTGCCGCCTACCAAGTACTCATCTTCTCCAGTTGATTTTTTTATAAAACCAAAGTAAATTCCGATGCCTCCACAGGACACCAGCATTAAGGTGAATATAACGTAATCAACAATACCAAATATTTGCATCGAACTGCTGACTTCATCCACGGTCGGTTGACCTGGCACCCAATTGGTTTTCAAAACACCACTTGGATTTATTTCCGATCCCATTTTTTACAATTTTAAATTAAAAATTTATAAATATAACTGAAATTATACTTAATGTCACTTGGCTTCAGTATCAAATATTTATCATTATTTAAATTAAAACTTTAAAATATGAAATACAAGTAAAAATATCGTATCACAGTCATGAGTAAACAACAACTGAATACGTTAACGCGTCAAAATAAATTGTGTGTTGCAGCGTATAATGTACTTAAACAAACCAGAGTGACAGTATATTTAAGAGTAAATGTGATACTATAACTCATATGACAGCGACGATTTTCTTATTAATATAACAATAGATGTAAGTACTTGAGTAAATTGTGCTCATGTGTTCGTGTGTAAGCACACATTTTACAATTGAATAATTTGGCCTAAATTTAGGAAGCCATTTATATATAAATATACTAATACACGCATAATATATATATATATATATATATATATATATAAATATATATTAATGTATATTTTGATAGTACCACTAGGATCATACAGATTCGTGTAGATCTATCTAGTGAAATAAGAAACTAGATGACTTTAAATGACTTAATCTTTTTATCAACTACACGGAAGTTCAGAGTACAATTCCACATTGACCTTTATAGGTAATAATATCTGTTATTATTATTATTATTGTTATTATCAATTAATGAATAAGTAAATTGGTGAGTGACCTACGTTATTTTATTAATATAACAAGGGAAGAAAATTCAATTACTTATACTTATGTATCTGTTTAAATCAATTATGTTTTATTTATAAACCAACCTTGTATGAAGAATTTTTTATTTTTTTTATCTTTATTATGATTAGCGTATGAAAAATGCAGATTAAAAATAATCAACTGATTCTTCTTACAGAAATTTATCCTTCCCAGAATTTAGGTAATTCGTCGCCAAGAATTACACGACGTTCCACGCCTGCTTCCGTTATTATTCCAAGACGAATGACACCACCACTGCTTCCGTCGCGGCTCATAGCAAGTGCAAGAGCTGTTGATAAATATTTCAATTGTTTTAATGAGCTAAATGTTGTATTAATGATAATTATGAATAACAAAGACTAAAATTTATTTACTGTTTGTAATCAGCTCGACAGTTTGATCCTTGGTCATGTTGGGCTTGTAGTGAGCATCAACATAACCGTAGACGTAGGTTGATCCAGAACCACCTATGGAAATTGGTTGTCGGACACACATTCCTCCAATTGGGATGCTGTAAACTTGTCCCCCTTTTTGGGAGTCGTATCCTGCTACCAGGATTCCGGCGACAAGTGAATCACGGTAATTGTAACACATCTCACGGAATACATTGGCTGCTGTTTCAACTTTGGGCTGGGTTCCTAATTCCATTCTGTAAAAAAATTAATTTACAAAATAATTGATGTGTAATAAAATTGGTTTAATTTTTTATAAATGATTAATTGGTACTAGCAACCTTGCAGTCACTATGTGACTGCCTTGACTTGTAAACTATAAATAAATAGAATTTTGCTTTATTAAATAATGACTTTTTTTTAAATTGCACTGTACTTTTTTAATTGACGTTTTTAAAGATATAAGCTCATCCCGATGTTACACTGATCAAGAGCTTTCATTTGAGTACCCACATGCATTTTTGATATATTTATCATATATACATATATATAATATATATAAATATATAAAATATATGAAAAATTGATGTGGGTACTTAAATGAAAGGTCTCGGCGAATGTAATGTCAGGGTGAGCTTATATCTTTAAAAATATCATTAGATGATAAGATTTTCAACGTCATTTCTTCATTATTGATGTTTTTAAAGATATAAGCTCATTCCGATGTTACACTTATCAAGAGCTTTCATTTGAGTACCCACATGCATTTTTGATATATTTATCATATATACATATATATTGTATATATAAATATATGAAAAATTGATGTGGGTACTTAAATGAAAGGTCTTGATGAGTGAAACATCGAGATGAGCTTATACCTTTAAAAATGTCAATAGTTCACGAGATACAAGGTCATTTCTTAATTACGTATCTAGAGATAGCGCATTTTTTAATGCAGCCTAAATACTTATCATTATAAATTGACTATTGATGAAAATGATATGAAACTATGAAAAGGCACAGCTCCAGGTCAAGACTTTTCCAACGATACCAAATTTAACCATAAAAAACCATTTTATCTTATAAATACACTGGCCGCAAAATTATGCTTATTCTCTTAATAATATAGATTATTGATGATATTTAAGTTAGCTGGCAACTATAAATTTTTTTTATTTATATGAAAAATTAATTACAATGAAAAAATGCTTTAAAAAATTTTCATTAATAACTTTTTTTTTATAATAGTTTAATTGTCATAAAATTCTAAAAAAATTTACAATGTTTGTCAACTTTAGTGTTATTATGTTACGAAAAATGACCATGAAGATAGATTAATATAAATAAATGTCAAAAATAAAACCTTTATCTTCAGATTTATGATTTTCAAGTTTCTAAATGTCATATTGATTTAAATTTTGACATTAATAAATTAAAATTTCCGTCTTCAGTAACAGGAAATTAATAAATTATTCAACAACTTACTGATGAAAACCTAAGTGATATGCGACAATATCTGCAATCGCTTGAGTGTCTGCAGCTGAACCAGAACGACAGCAGTAAATGTTGTCAGTAATCTTGGTCAGCTTGTCGGCTGTCCTGTTACTAATGTATGCTCTGCAAAAATCATTCAATTATTAATAGAATTAATAAATTCTTCCTGCTGAATAAAATAATTTAATTAAAAGCTTGACAATAAAAATTTTTAATAAAAAAATTTACATTATCAAGTGTCAAGAAAAAATAATTTACCCAGTAGTTGCACGTGAATCGGCACCAATCACAACTCCACCATTAAATTCACACGCCATAATTGAGGTCTGTTATAAAAAATTAATAAAATAATTAAAAAGTTAAATTAAAGATTGCTATGTCATTGTAACCTAAAACAAACATTTTGTAGTTTAAAAGTAAATAAAAAACTTACTCCAGTGCTGGCTTCAGCATTCATCCAGTCTGAAGCCATTGAATCGGATCCAAAATTCATAGCTGGACCAAAATTCTGTATGATATTCATTTTTTATAATTATTTCAAGTAAATAAACTTAGCGGTCAACAAAATTCTCGCTAATAAAATACACAATTGTAAATTGACTTGGGAGTTGGAAAATGCTGACTGGTTTTAGTATGAGCCTCTAGCGGATAAATTGAGAACTATTTTTATGGGCAGTAACGTCCTACGTTACCATTGGATTAAAAAAATCGTGCAGTCGCCCGCGCATACTCAGAGACGCGTATGCGCAGATGCGTAGTTACCGCACCGATTCAGCTCGCAGCAAATTAACGGTCGGCGTCACTTATGTCACTTTACACATTTATTTGCTGAATGTTTGAAAGACAGACATGTATTTTAAAAGTATTTATTGAACTTTATTTCAATTAATAATATATAAAAGAATGAGATTATTATCAAATTAATGACACTGAAGTTGAAAGACATTAGAGAATTTTTTAGCAATTAAATTATTATGAAAAAAAATTAATAAAAAAATTCCACATGTGAAAATTTTTAGAAGCATTTTTTTATTATTGTTAATTTGTTATAAAAATTAAAAAAAATTGACAGTTGTCAGCTAACTTCAGTATCATATCAAATTAACAGAAATTTATTATTTTCAGATTCGAAATCAATGGAGATTATGATCATTTTTGCAAAGTATTAAGCTTACCATTTGATTCTAAGAAAATAATAAATTCTTTATTGATATTTATATTTTTATTACTTGATCTCAATTTATAATTTTATTCAATAATAGATTTGACAATTAATTATAATAAATTAAGTTTCCGCCATCTTGAAAATTTTTTCTATTTCTAAATAATCAAGTATAAGTATTAATCAGAAGAAAAAATTTTTATAAATCGCGTATCGAGAACTGGAAATTCTTGACAGTTGCTCTAGTTGTCTTCGGTCGTTAAACTTCAGTGCGGTATGAGTAAAAGTTAATTAAGTAAAAAGTGGTGTAGTAAAAGTGTTGCAGAACATTATGATATATTTTTCCAATAAACGAAAAAGGGCAAGAATAATGAAAAATTCCCAACAATCAAAGAGTTTCATCACTCATCAGTTCATCATCATCATCTGGCGTCGACCAGTAAAGAAATAGCAATTAAGTGATGCATTTAGCTGATGGATCAACCCTTTTGCACATTATTTCTTTGCTGAGGTTTGTTGACACTTTTATTTTATTTATTTATTTATTTATATACTAGCAGTCCACCCCGGCTTTGAACGGACACTTAACAAAAATTTCAAAATTAATTATAATATAATATAGCCTATGTCACTCGGGGATAGTGTAGCTTCCCAACAGTAAATGAATTTTTCAAATCGGTTTAGTAGTTTCGGAGCCTATTCAATGCAAACAAACAAACAATCAAATTTTTCCTCTTTATAATATAAGTATAGACAATCATTATATTATTCATAAAATGCAGAAATTTAAGATTTTTTTTTTTAGTTCCTGATAAACAAATAGTTGATTATAAAATAAATATTTTCCAAATTCGCATTTATTTTTTTTTTTTTTCAGAAAATTTATTTATCAAATCAAAAAACCAAAAAAATTGTCAAATTTCTACAACACTTTATTATTTATAATTTATACTTGAAATTATTTCGGAAATTTTTGTTTTACAAATATTTATGACATTAAAGTTAGCAGTCACTTCACAATTATTTCATTTTATTTAACAAAAAAATTTGTTCCAACAAATTATTTTTAAAAAATTGCATTTTTAATTTTCTAAAATTTCTACATGTCAATTTTTTTTTCTAATTTTTTTTTGCCATAAGTTATTTATTCTAAGATTGTTAAAATTATTAAGTATATGCTAAATTAATTATCATAAATATTTCTGAAAGACAAATTAAAGTCTTTTTTTCTTAAAATTGTTTCTAAAAAATTCTTGGTTTCACATTTACGAAATTCGTACTAATACATCATAATTCTCGAATAAAACATACTCATTTTAAAAATGCATTCTCATCTTTTCGCGGGCTGACAATATTGATATTAAAATCCCATTCTTACCAACAACTATCACAAATTTTCATAAAAACTACCTTATCAATCAAAACACAAAAAAAAAATCAAAGTAAACAGCCCCCAGCGGCTTCATAATATTTGACATTTACATTAGCATTAACACCGGCAACAATTTGCAACAATGCTGATAACTACACGAGTCAGCACCTAACAATTTGCGCTTAATCTTTTTAAATATTTTCTTTGGTGTTACGAGTTATCGACACTGTGTACTGTTGTTATTATAAAATATTGAAGGTCAATATCAATCTGCAGTAGTGGCTCATACATACAAATATATATATATTTATGTATAAACATTAGAAAAAATTTGTTTTATCACGTATTAACTATATGCAATGTCTTGAGAGAATTGTTTAAAAATTCCTCGTATTTTATTACATATACATTATCAGTGAATTGTTCGAAAATTTGAATCAAGAAATTTTTTATTTTTTACTCCAAAAGGTACCACGCAATTTTTAATTATTCATTATTAATTAACATGATATTTGATATTATCACAAAATATTTTAATTATTGTTAATAAAAAATTTGCCTTTTTTTAGGTTAAAAGTCGTCTTAGCAATTATAGTAGAAAAGATAATTTAAATAGAAATTGTCGATGGGATTTATTGATGATGAACTTCAGCAAGTATCAAAATTCTGTGAGAATATCGTCAAAGATAGTCGACTTGTTTCCTGTGTTCCAGCTATGGTCCGAGCAGAAATAACGTGAATTATTTTTATTATTTCATTATGACAAATTTATCATAGATTTTTTCAAGGAAATTACTAATTTGATTGATTACTAACAGACGCACAACATTTAAGAAAATAATTGTTTGCATACAATTTCCGAGCGATTACCCTCAAGAGCCGCTTTTGATTGAATTGAAAAGTAAAACACTGTCACCTAAGTTATTATTGAAGCTGACTGAAGTTTGCGAAAAAGAATGTAAGAATTTAATAGGGAAAACGCAGGTGAACTTAATTATTTTAATTGCCGTGTAATAAAGAAATAATTTCATCTGGTAATCATCTTTACTTTTTGTTTATATCAACAAAATTAACAGATTAACTCGCTAAATATCGATACTGCCATTCTAATACGTCGTATCCTACAAAATTTGACAAATTTACTTTTTTTGAAAAATGGAGTCATAACAATATTATGCAAGTCATACTAAAATTTTAAAGGTCAAATAGTTTAATAACTATTTTTAAATAGATATTTTCATCTGTCGAATCTCATTTAATCAATGTTAAAAATGAATTGTTTTTACCATCTGCTGTAAAATTTTCTAAATGTGGGATACGACGTATGACACTGGATATCATCCCAGATTATATTGAGTGAAAAAAAAATATAATCTGAATTTTTCTAGCTACTATCTGAAATTTTTTTTACCTCAAATATCACTGAGTATAATCTGGAATGATATCCCGTGTCATCTTGTTCTTTTCGTGTAGAAGGGCAGTATCGATATTAATTCAGTAAACTCGCTAATTAATTTTTTTATTTTAGTAATTATTGTATAAGCTTGCCATAAAATTTCAAGTGTTCATACTAAACTCGTATTTGTGTAAAAATACTGGATGAAAAATTATTTCTTTATACAAGAAATTAAATTATTAGTTAATAAACTTTCAAAAATAATAAAAAAAAAAAAAATAAATAAAATTTTAGATTTTACCAACACTTAAATTAATTCAAAATTTCATTGAAGACAATCCTCTAATTTGTTGCTACGACGAAATATCATTGTTAAAAAAACTTCTCAATGAAAAAGATAGTTTCAAATTAAAACAAAAATCATCGTCAATTTTTTTGGAAATTTATCAAGATAATTATTTTTACAAATTTAAAATAATTTTACCTGATAATTATCCATTGGAATCAGTAAGGTATTTTCAATTTTTTAAATTTATTTTTCAATTAATTTTTTATTGTCATTCACTAAACGATGGGATTTATTTTATATCATAAATTTATGCAGTATAAGAGATGTTGAAACTAATTTTCCACCGTTGTTCGCACGTTACTTTATTGGTCAAGCTCAAGAGTTAGGGCGTCGTTGTGTGGAACCGCCGCTCAGAAAACAAATTAATCAAGTATTCTCTCCGTCACCTTCATTAAACTGTGTGGTATCTTTTATAATAAGGTAAACAATACTAATACTTTAATGGTGTAGTTTCAAATTGTATGTTATATTATGACTTACGATTGTTATTAAATTGGAAATGTAGAGTCGTGAAGTTATTACCCAATGAGAAATGTCAATGGTGCAAAGGTTTATGTCTTCCAGTCAACCCAGCTCAGGCGGTTTTGGATGAAAATGCAGACTTACATGTAGAAAGACTCTACTGTGGTCATCTTTTTCATCTGCAATGCCTTTTAAAATATATGAAGACGCCTCCTTTTCATGGTAAATATTTTTCATCAATAACAATTACGTATTTTAATTTTTCAAACAATTAATTCTAGATTTTTTTAAAAATTTTTTAAAAACTACATTATTTTTAATTTCTTCGATGAAAAATTCTCTCTGCAATTGATTAAGATAATTTTAGACGTAAAAATTCAATAAAATTAAACAAAATTTTTTTCGTGATTAAAATCAACTGTTAATTCACTATACAGCATATTGTAACAGTTCTTAAAAAAATAAAAATTTAAAAACGAGTGATTGAACATAAATATTAAACTTAATTATATTCTCCAAAGTACTACAATGTTTATGTTGGGTAATAAAAAATCCAGTGTGCCGTATGACCTTAATTAAAATAAAATAGTGTACTTTATATTTTATTTTTAGGCGGTAAAAAATGTCCAACCTGCGGACAACGAGTTTATCATGATAAATGGGCAGTAAGTGACAAACTTGCAGAAGACCGATGGGCTCATGAACAAGCTCGTGCCCGTGAGCTAGCCGAGGTCGCCGATTTTTTCGAATGAATTGTGTCATTTAACATTTAACTACAATGGTCTACATTTAATTAATGTTTACTATATTTTATAATAATTATTTTTCACATAACAGCAGGTTTGTTGGTGTCAATTTATCATTCAAATAATTAATATTTATATTTATGTCTACTTAGGTAATTAATAATAAACTCACAAGAGACCTAATATCTACAAGGATAGCTATAAGTTTATCAGTACAAAAGTTGATAAAGTATTTGTACGAGAACAATATTGTAAGTAATAAAAATCTCAAGAGATATGTACAATAACAGTATGTAATATTGTACAGATAAAGAACCATTAATGTCTAGAAATATGTCAAGTTATAGTAGTGTCTTAGTATTTTTTATTGAAGTCATAGTAGTGGTAGTTAGGTATTGATCCTTACTACCGACTATGGTGATCCTCTCCATCTTTTTCCTCTAAGCCTGCCGCGGTCTCGTTTATCCTTGTTTACGTTGTTATTTTTTATTTCGATTCCCTTCTTATTTTTTTCTTCTTCATTAGTTCTATTTTATTTTCCGTAAATATTTCTTTCGTTTTTTTTTTTTTTTTTTTTTTTTTATCTTATTAACTTTTTATTACAAATCCAAACAAATGGACTAAGCTCGTTGTACATTTTTATATGTTATTATTTATTTATGTTAACTATAAGCAAGAGCTTAAAGTTTGTACACCAACAGACTTTTTGTCAGTCGGATGTTTGTTCCTGACACATGCAACTAGATCCAAAGTGCATATAGTTAATTATTTGCGGTTGATAAATGTCAACGTAACAGGGCGCGGCTTCGTTATTATTCATTTTTATCATAAAATTTCATTTTAAATACTGAATTTTTTTCATAAAAATTCATAACTGAGCAGAAAAATAAGATCATCGAATTTTGATTCTTTCGGTTTGTTCTTGTTAAAGTACTGCAAAAATTTGATACTCCCTTTCAGAAAAGCGTAATTATCTCTAAAAAAAAAAAAAAATTCAATTCAAACTAAAGTAATGACTGAAAAACAAAAAAAAAAATGATAAAACACGTGTTATCATAAAAATACTAATCTCTTTAAGCGCTTCTCCATTAAATTATTTGCGGGAGAGGGTTCGTTGATCTCGAGCGGAGAAATAAATACATATATGTATATGCTCGGTGCTTACGCAATGCACGTATCGATTCAACTGACTAAAAGCTAAAAGCTCTGATTAGTTTGGTTTTAAAATTATTGCGAATTCTCCGGTTATTTATCCTTTAACATGTTGTTTAACTTTCAACTCATTCATCGATTCGATTCAATGAAGGGTTTACAAATTCACGCTGTAAGCCAAACCGAGTAAAATAATCATAAATATTTAAGTCCAAAATTTCACTCGTAAATTTTCTATTCAATATACTTTTAATGACTTTTAAAAAAATATTGTTCGACGATAAATTAGAAAATAATATTATAAAAGCGTAAATCTGAACAAACTTTAATATAATGCGATTCCTCATTGTATTAGTTGGAAATTTTCCGTGGAAATTGAATCTAAATACCGGCGATACCAGATAATATTTAACTGCGTATTAAATTTCAATTAACTATAAATTAATATATACAAAGAGAATTTTATTTGGCAAACTAATTCCTGGCTATCGATTGTAGTACAATCGGGTTCTCAGAGCATTGAGAGCTACTACATCGAGAAACTGAGAGGTATGCGCTCATACGATGCGGATAACACTGTCTCCCTCTTAAACCCTTCTCTCTGTTCTCTGTCTATGTACCCTTTAGTTATAGGAATGCGCCAAATAGTTTTGGAATCAGTTATTACTCCGGTGGCAATAATTCATAACTCTGAATCAAATTCAACATCGGCCTGCAGCTACGCAAATTGTTTCTCCTCTATATATACTACATATGTACTCCAATATAATAATATCTCAATTTATAATAATGATAATATAAATGCTTATTTTTTGTTCAACATTGGTTATACAACCAGATGTACCATCAATAACTGAAATTAACCATTTAAGGTAATTACTGATTAATTATTTATAGTTCCAGTTTTAATCTTCCCGATAATTATAGAATATATTTTAATTCGTCAATTGATTTTCAAATTGTAACTTTCTCGTGAACTTGAATTTTAGTCTTTTTATAGTTAGTTCATATCAATACGTTTTAAATATTCAATCGATTTATTTTGAGTTTATTTTAAACTTTGCGCTTCATATAGAATATTTAAAAATTGATAAAAATATACTTTAACAAACACATTAATTAATATACAAACTCTGTAATTATAGATGTGATATTCAAAATGATTTTTTTTGACTTGCTATTGTTTTTTTTGGATAAAGTTAATTTTGTACTTGATGTGTTTAACCATTTATGGTATTCAATTCTTCAAAAAACATAGATAAATCTCCAACAAATAATCCGCGGTGATGTTTGATGTATCGACGTGTGTCCGTTCGAACAGCGATATCGAATGTCATACGAGGAAATGAGTGATACTACGGAAATTTAGGAAATACAATCGGCTCTACGGATATGACTGTGTCTTTCTGAAATTTAAGGTAACGAGGTGGTGGAGCAATTTCATATTATTGAGGACTATTTATGTTTAATTTTTCTATTCATCAAAGCCACAATCAAAAAATTTTTTTAATTAAAAGACAAAACATTTCTCGATTTTGAAATATCTGAAAATTTAATTGAAAAATATCACTTTTTCTCCAAGAGCGTAAGATTTTTTTTTAAAATTCGTTTTATGGAAAACTCTTGGAATTTAAGTAAATAATTAGATGAATTTTTAAGCTGATCCCGGTTAAGACTCTAAATTGATCTTTACAGGAAAAATCGGAAAAGTACGAAACTTCTCGAAGAAGTTGATTAATTTCATCGTTTCTCTACGCGAAATAGTTCAAGAAACGCAAAATATTAATTAATATTAGTCGAAAATTTTGCTTAAAAATTTACTAAACATAGAAAGAAAAAAACAAAACAAAAAAGTGGTCTTAATTAGAATAAATTGTTTCTTACATCCACAATTTTTTCTTGAAAGGCATTATATTACTCAAACCGAGAAAATACTTCTGAGAACAATAAATTTTTTTTTCTCAACTGGAGAAATTTTTTTCTTATTTGAAGACTACACAGTAAAAAATTTTACGTCAAAAAACTTAGTGTTAAAAATTTTTGTGTTAAATATTTAAAGATTTTTAACACAAAATTTTTTTTTTACTGTGTAATCTTCTTCGGTAAAAACAAAATTTCTCGACTTAGAAGAAGCTTCCTTGGTGCAAGCGATATCAATTTTGAGTTAAGAATATCAATTTCTTAACTTGCTAAATACATGTTTGGCTGAAGACTGTTATTTTATGACATCAAGTGAAAAACTTTCTTGAGACATAGTAGACAGCTCGATATCGACAAAGGAACTAATTGGCAGTCGGAAAAATAAAAAAAATGGAATTGATGATTAGAATGTTTCCTTTAACAATTCGCAACGCTGTGCAATTTAACCGTTAACCTTTTTATGGAACACAGACACTCAGACAACAGAAAGACGACCTGATCAGACCAGACAGAGAATCGCCGACGCTTATTCAAACGATGGGCGTTACGTTTGTACAACCGACCAACGTATTTACCATCATCATCTATATATCTTAACTTGTACTCGGTAATATTCTACTCGTATATCGATACTTATAATATAAGTTAGAACCGTGGTTGTTATGGATCGGGGTTGGTCAACGTTGCACTCCTCAACAATTACATTTTCATACATTAATGGTATATCTACATACACGAACAAAAAAGTTGTAGAAAAAATTACAATTGTCACATCGCAATTCTTTTCATGCTTTACACTCACAAAAATTAATTGAATTCAAGGGAAAAATTATTAAGTCATGAAAATTAATATGAAAAGCTTCATTGTCTCGATTTAAGTAAAAAATTCTTACATCAGTTGAAATTACTTACATCAAGAAGAATTTCTCAGTTCAAGATATTTTTTTACTTAAATCCAGACTCTGAAGCTCTTCAAAATGATTCTTTTGGTCCAAGAATTTTTTCTTTGAATCAAGTTAATTTTTTTTTAGTGCAATTCCGAGTTCTCTCAAAACTTTCATATATTTATCTTAAATATTTTGAGTTATAATGAATTTCCGTCCGTTTAAATTCTTATCCAATCAATACTTACACCAAAAATTCGGTAGCAAAAGAGATAATAAATTTTTATAGTGTAAGAGGAAATTGGAAAAAACGAAATTTCTCTGATAGATTATTGATAGAACCCCAAATGAGATTAGTATTGAATTGGAAGAAAGATTGAAGCAAAATTGGTTCTTTGAACATAAAATGGAGTATCGAAAGAGTGAGATACAAGTTGCAAAAGTTGTTGTCCGTGGGGACGTAAAAGGAACTAATAAATAATCCTCGGGGACGTAACTCACTGTCAAAAAAGTTTTCTGGTCGCCCTCACGCGCTTCTCAGAGCTCATTAGACCCTTCGACTTAGTCGACAAAAAGGGTGCGTGCTTGTCTTGCTTTATGTGACGTGGCAAGCGTAAGGAATGAGCAAAAAATTTTCCGGGGGAGAGAGACCAGTCGCCAGAACAACATACCTAGTCTATCTTGACTGATAGATAGATAAGCTCGCGTTTTTTATAACCCGTGTCGACATATTATATAACCTCTTACTCTGTCGTATAAAAATTGGTTCTGATTTATGATTTATCATCAAAATTTTTTCCCCAACAAAGTTAAGGTAATTTAGGATACGTCTATAATTACGTGTAGGACTAGAACGTCGTGGATCAATAGCTAGAAAATGGCCGGAAGCCAAGTCCAACAATGTCGATTCGAGTTTTACTGTAGTCACTGAACTCCTTTCTCAGACTACTATATTGAATACTCTAACCCCTTTCTTAGCTTGGCCCAGTTGTAATAGTACCATTATGAGAAAGACCACGACCACATATCGTACGACCACACCTACGATAC